GATATGATAAGAGTAGAAGAAATGGGAGATAAAATAAGAAGGTAAGATATGATAAGAGTAGAAGAAATGGGAGATAAAATAAGAAGGTAAGATATGATAAGAGTAGAAGAAATGGGAGATAGGAATAGGATTAGAGTAGAAGAAGGGGAAAGAGATGAGGCGATGAAAATAGAAGAAAATGTACTTAAGAAATTAAAAATTAGAAGTGGATAAAGAAATTGAACTAGTTAAGAGACAAGTTGAAGAAAGAAGACAACGCGAACTTGAAATGGCAGAAGTTTAGAATAGAAGAAGAAAAAGAGACAGAAGAAATTAGGAGTCAAGAAGATAATTACAGAGACAATAGTGAAATTCAGGGAGAAGAAATTTTAGTAGTAGAATGGACAGAATAATTAGCATTAACTGGGGGAATTCGTGCATTGGGGAAATAATTATAGAGATTGTTCAGTGGACAAGATATAAAATAGTTATAACATGGCAGATGTGGAATCTATGAATGATCAGTGCAGATGAGATGTTAAGAAGAAGGCTTGGGGAAAACTAACAAGCTTTGATAAAGTAAAGTAGAGGCTGGAAAAGTGACAACGACACTGTGAGGCCATTAGATGAACTAAGAGGCCATTAGATGAACTGTGTGGGGGGGGGGGGGGGGGGTGTTCCCTTTAAGCTGCGCGGCCGCGCAGCAATTTCACAGACGCCGCGCAGCAGTTTTGAGTACCTCGCAGCTAATTTCCACTTAAGTGTGTGTTTGAGTCTGTAGGCTGTAAATTTTTGCGCACAAAAAAATTGATGCTGTAAAAATTTGCGCACAAATTTATGATTTTGCACATAAACCAACAAACCTTAGAGGGAACATTGGGAGGGGGGGATTATATCAACTGGGAGGCCGTTAGATGAACTGGGAGGCCGTTAGATGAACTGGGAGGCCGTTAGATGAACTGGGAGGCCGTTAGATGAACTGGGAGGCCGTTAGATGAACTGGGAGGCCGTTAATTAAACTGGGAGACTATTGGTTGAAATGGGAGGCTATTTGTTAAACTGGGAGGCCATTAAATAAACTGGGAGGCCATTTGATGAAATAGAAGGCCATTTTTTGAACTAGGAGGCCATTAGATGAACTGGTAAGCGATTATTTGAACTGGGAGCCCATTAAATAAACTGGGAGGCCATTAGATGAATATGACTGGAGTAAAGTACCCCTGTTGTTAGCCTGCGAAAATGAGTTAACTGAGAATATAACCGACTTTGGGGAGGAGCTAAGTTACCACGAGGAATGTAATGCTTACATAATTGAGTGTAAGGATAAGGATTTGTTTATAGCGTCTATTGATGAGGTTAAGATAATAGACCATTTTGTTAATGAGAAGGATTCCGGGACAAAAATTCATGTCTGAAAGTTATGAGGCGTGTAACGAATCTAAGAGATTTATGATGTTCTGAAATGAGGCGTGTAACGAATCTAAGAGATTTATGATGTTCTGAAATGAGGCGTGTAACGAATCTAAGAGATTTATGATGTTCTGAAATGAGGCGTGTAACGAATCTAAGAGATTTATGATGTTCTGAAATGAGGCGTGTAACGAATCTAAGAGATTTATGATGTTCTGAAATGAGGCGTGTAACGAATCTAAGAGATTTATGATGTTCTGAAATGAGGCGTGTAACGAATCTAAGAGATTTATGATGTTCTGAAATGAGGCGTGTAACGAATCTAAGAGATTTATGATGTTCTGAAATGAGGCGTGTAACGAATCTAAGAGATTTATGATGTTCTGAAATGAGGCGTGTAACGAATCTAAGAGATTTATGATGTTCTGAAATGACATGACGTGTCAAAATTTCTTGCTCAAAAATCAAAAAATTAAATTCCCACTTTGCTCTGTTCTGCTTAAGTCTGATTTCATCTGTTTAATCAGTGGACGATCTTTATACAGTGCAATATTCAAGTTAGCTTGCAACACCGTTCAAACGATTGGATGCTTATGTATCCAAATATCCATTTAAAGTAACATGCGTCCCGAATAACCTTTTTAACCCAGCAACTCCTTTACATGTCATTATCACCTCGGTGGCCGCTCCGACCCTTAGTCAAAGATTCTTCGGTCTTGACCCCCCCTCCCCCTTCCAAACTAAGTTATTTTTTTTTTACCATTGGGTTGTATTTAAATTTCCAGACCTGAATGCTTAAACCTGAAGCAGTGAGTGGCTAGTTTCTCTATTAGTTTTTATGTGATGTTAGAGACGTTCTGTTTCCAATGATGACAAATAGTTGGGAAAGATTTAATTCGTTTGATGAAATAACTTATTATGTTTAAGCCTGAACTACAAAATAAGACAATGAAGCGAACATTTTGACTGCAAGCCCCCCCCCCCCTTTTTCCCAATGAGCACAGCTATACAAACATAAAGAACACTTTAACACAACTCCTTAGAAGTCCAATTAAAGTAAGTGAATTCTTTTCTTGTGACGGTGCATACGAAAGTAGAACTCTTTGATCACCACCANTTTTTACCGCAAACCCCCCCCCCCCCCCTTTTTCCCAATGAGCACAGCTATACAAACATAAAGAACACTTTAACACAACTCCTTAGAAGTCCAATTAAAGTAAGTGAATTCTTTTCTTGTGACGGTGCATACGAAAGTAGAACTCTTTGATCACCACCATGGTCTGATTTCATTTACTGCGGGATAGATTAAAACAGAAGACTACAGACTCAAACAGATAAAGCACTGTATGACTTCTACCATACGCTACCCTACCTGAAACATTTTACTGTTGTGTCTATGGTACAGGGACCCATTGAGACCAAAAACTCTAGTGATAAACAATGACACACACCACACACATCTCACCTCCTGGTTACTGAATCATTTTCTGAGCTATGCAAACATGACGATCTCATTCAAACATATTGACACCTTTCAGCAAGTGGCGAATCTAAAATTTCACCGGGATTCAAATAGATTAACCGTCTTAAGATTTTACACCCTATTTACAATCAGAATTTTACACCCTATTTACAATCAGTATTTTACACCCTATTTACAATCAGTATTTTACACCCTATTTACAATCAGTATTTTACACCCTATTTACAATCAGTATTTTACACCTTATTTACAATCAGTATTTTACACCCTATTTACAATCAGTATTTTACACCCTATTTACAATCGTTTAATGTTGACCAAAGAAATAGGCTTGGATGGCATGCATTCATGTTAATGGCGCCTCTCGTTACTTAAACTATATAGTATATACGATACACATACTATCGCTTGTACATATTATGTAGATATATTGACATATACATATTAAGATTTTGGCGCCCCTTCAATGTCTGCGCCGCGCCTAATGTTCCCCCCACCCCCCAAGCTTCTTAGAATGACCCTAACGGCATTTGCCCTTGAGACTCAATACATTACAGAGCACATGCCCAGACGGTAGCAGAGAGACTCAATGCATTACAGAGCATATGCACAGACGGTAGCAGAGAGACTCAATACATTAGAGAGCATATGCACAGACGGTAGCAGAGAGACTCAATACATTACAGAGCATATGCACGGACGGTAGCAGAGAGACTCAATACATTACAGAGCATATGCCCAGACGGTAGCAGAGAGACTCAATACATTACAGAGCATATGCCCAGACGGTAGCAGAGAGACTCAATACATTACAGAGCATATGCCAAGACGGTAGCAGAGAGACTCAATACATTACAGAGCATATGCCCAGACGGTAGCAGAGAGACTCAATACATTACAGAGCATATGCCCAGACGGTAGCAGAGAAAGATCAAAGTTGATAGGGAATACCCTTAACTTATGGTTTCCAGAGAGCTCCATTGGTTCCTAATATCCTAGGGAGCGGACATGACACAGTTGACTTCTTCTAATTGTACTTAATTGTTGATGTTTTAAACACACGATAAAATTCCAGTCTTTAAATCTCTTCATTAATAAAATAAAATGTTTTATAATTCTAAAAAAAAGAAAGAAAAAAAATCATAGCAGGCAATGAAACTTGCAGCGCATAGCGAACAAGGGAAACAATCTTTGGAACAGCGTTGTCTCTTCAGAAGATGCAGTTGTCTTTCATTTGAAACTGGTTACTTCAAGTGCTTCTAAAAATATGTGTAATAGTACGGTATTGAAAGAAATGTAGAGATTAATACGCAATGATAGAATTGAACTGCAATAAAATCTCTTAAAATTTACTTTAAAAAAAAAAGTAGTTCTCATCTTACAGTAACACTTATGACATGAGTCAGATCTCGAGATGGTTACACTACTGAGTTTGCCAGAGACAGATCCTGCCACGGTGCTCACCTTACAGTAACACTTATGTCATGAGTCAGATCTCGAGATGGTTACACTACTGAGTTTGCCAGAGACAGATCCTGCCACTGGTTACACAACTGAGTTTGCCAGAGACAGATCCTGCCACTGGTTACACTACTGAGTTTGCCAGAGACAGATCCTGCCACTGGTTACACAACTGAGTTTGCCAGAGACAGATCCTGCCACTGGTTACACAACTGAGTTTGCCAGAGACAGATCCTGCCACTGGTTACACTACTGAGTTTGCCAGAGACAGATCCTGCCACTGGTTACACAACTGAGTTTGCCAGAGACAGATCCTGCCACTGGTTACACAACTGAGTTTGCCAGAGACAGATCCTGCCACTGGTTACACTACTGAGTTTGCCAGAGACAGATCCTGCCATGGTGAAAGTGCAAGTGCTTGACAGTAATTAGAAAACATCAACACTGACTCCCCATGATATGAAGAAAACATCAACACTGACTCCCCATGATATGAAGAAAACATCAACACTGACTCCCCATGATATGAAGAAAACATCAACACTGACTCCCCATGATATGAAGAAAACATCAACATTGACTCCCCATGATATGAAGAAAACATCAACATTGACTCCCCATGATATGAAAAAAAAACAACATGCATGATAAAAATATAAATATGATATGATTTATTTAATTGTATCACATAATTAGAATATGTAAATTGTAAAGGCAATTCTTTCAGAGAAGCATCATAAAGAAACTCAAGTGGGAGAAAATCTGCGTAAACCATCTTTTAAATTGATCGATTGAAATAAATATAAGAATAAGCTATGTAGCCGATCTTTCGAAATGATTGATATAAGGATAAGCTACATAGACGATCTTTTGAAATGATTGCTTGATCTAAGGATAAGAATGGTGATTCTGGCCTATGATCAAATTGTTGGACATGCTGAAAATTCTAACATTCTGATTCAGGTTTTAAAAGCATTACATTATTAATAGTAGCTGGCTAGAATCGTATCCGGAAATTCGATCGAAAGAAATTTCGTCGACGGTAAATTGGTCAACGGTAATATGATCGAACGGAAAATTGGTTGAATCTTCTTTTCAATTTTTACGTAACAATTTTGTATCAAATTTCTTTTTGAACGAATTATTTTGTTTTACTAAATAGTATAGTGCGTTCAAAAAGAAATTTGACGACAATTTCAACGTGCGAACGGAAAAAAAGATTCAACCAAATTTCCGTTCGATCAAATTACCGTCGATCAATTTACCGTCGACGAAATTTCTTTCGATCAAATTTCCGGTAACCGGCTAGAATGATACACTGTCACATAATATTAATATAGGTTGAGTTGCAAACCTATCATGGTATTTAACTTGGATTTCATAATCATCGTAACTGGAACTATTGGTACATTGAATAGAATCATTGCATTAAAGCTCATTAGTTGAACAGAAGAGACATTTTAAAAATTTTAATTGTATTGGAACTTCAGTTTTGAAACACCATCCTATGATAACACCATCCTATGATAACACCAAACAAGTGCTATAAGACTATACATTACAGCAATTTTCACCCATTGAATCCCAAAGTGTCATTCATAGTGACCTCACATAACAATACCATGTAATTTCATTATGCACCTGGCTTAGGTTATTTCATTACGAAATTCCATTAATTAATGCTATTGAGACTAATTAATTCTTAAGTTGCTTACAAAACTTGGCAAGACAATGACAATTAATTATCCTGGTCAATTTAACAGGAATTCCATCCTTTCATCAAATATACGCTAACTCTTATTGATCAACTTTCAAGATGATACGGTAAATTGAAACTCAGATTCTCGACCTTGATATATTCGTAAAACTAATAATTGATTCTGAATGATGACTTTTGTATAAAGATCAGAATTTCATTGATTTAACATTCAAAGCATTAAGCTTATCCATAAAAAGTTTTCTTATGTGCTAAATATAGAATCTCATGAAAAGAAATTAATTGGTATATCCTTTAGGCTGTCAACCAATAGTAAATCGCAAAATAAAGATCAAATATATAATTACAAAATAATTATTGTATCTTTAAAAGGAGCTAATGAAAAAATAAGTGTAAAAAAAAAAATAATCCAAATAAACTGCTATGCCAATATTCTTTGTCAGCATATCATTGGAGACAGAACTTTAATCATCTCAGCATTAGGGTTGATATTATTTTTTTTCTTTCAGTATTTACAATTGAAATAGAATAAATTATTGGGTAATCCGATTTATAACGGTTCTTGATATATCCACAAAACAATGCCTTCCACTGCTCATTTAAAGTCTCAAATAATATCTGTTTAATATCATTATGTTGTTTTTCTTCATAGTTATGTCAAATCTTTAGTTTTTCACGAACACTATAATCCTAATCATAATCCTGTTTGCAACTGCAGCTGAAATTCATCTTTAATTTTACCCATCAGAAATGGATTGCTATATACGTCAATGGAAGCCATTGCAAGGGCCTTGGCATGGACTAGAGTGAGTTCATGTGCCGATTCTGTCTCTGTAATATCAAACAAAAATTCAATAAAAAAATAATTTATTTTACACAAAGAATTTACCTTTGTACCAAACAAAAAACATTAATTTTTTTTTAGTATAAAATTTAAGGTCATTGGAAAGAGAATAAAAAGAAAAGGAGCATATAAAAGTTTATTTTATCGAGACATTTCATTTCTTGGCATGAAGAGGTAACTTTTATTCTAACAAGTTAACTAATTACTGAATAGTACTTTCCTTTTTTTTTGTTGTTACAAATTAGAAAGTTTTTACATAAACTGTAAGAGTAATATTAGATCATGTAAATGTTTTAGTTTTGGTCTAGATATCAGTGGGTACATAACTTTGAACTATTTGAAAAAATATAATGTACCATAGTTTGAAAACTACTGCTTTAGCCATAAACTAACTTCTGTGGAATAATTTAGAATTAATCTTACAAATAATTACATATTTTTCAAAATTATAAAAATTCTCATTTTATGTCCATTATGTGGAAGTTAATATTGATCCTATTCAAACCTACTAGCAATATCTCTGAATTCTATTGTATGCAGGCTGACATCTGTGTTTAAACTGTATTTAGGATGAATGCTGGGAAGGACTTTGGAAACATTGCCCATGTCAGTGGAGCCACCTTGCTTCGAAAGTTTTTCTGGATCTTTTTCAAACTCGATGCCCAGGGCATTGCCATTTTGCACATAGAGTGAAGCCAGAGTCTCATTAGACATGAGAGAGTCATACGATTTGGGGTCAAAGCTGTAATCTACCTGGAAATAGTTGTCAGTAACATTTAAAAAAAAAGAAATTTAACAATCAACGTGCAATCAATCCAAAATGAAGTCATTAAAACCAAATATTCTCGACCACTGAACAACTGTTAAAGGATAAAATCAAATGAGTCATGTTTTTTTTAAACACTCTGCAGTATTTCCAAGACCTCCAATGTCAGCAATGTTATTTAAATTTGTCTTTTAACATTTTTTTTTTGAAAATTAAAAATTGAGGTTTGGGTTACTGAACTGACATGTCCATTAATATTAGATTCTCCTTCAATGTTATTTATTGCTGGATTTTATTTGTCTTTGGTTTCTTAAAAATATTTTATTATCCAGTTACCAATTGGCCTTCAAATTTAGGCTCATATGAAAAATGGAGTGATTTCCCTTTATGTTCAAACACAGAATAAAGGCAGCGGAGACAAATAAGTCAGAGGGAAATTATAGAATATTGTTATTTTTTTTTTTGCTGTTAATGACTAGAAAGCTATTCATACTCACTTTACAACCAGTGGCAGCGGCAGCAGCATCAAAACATCCCCCAAGTCTCTTTTGAATGTCAAGGAGTTCTTCCTTACATGGCGCTCGGGCATAGTAAAGCAGTTCGGATGTTTCTGGGATGATATTTGGTTTCTCCCCACCATTTGTTATCACACCTGACCAAAAAATATTTATTTATTACAAGATGAAAGCTATTAAGGAACCTGATTTTCAATATTTCAAACAAACAAAAATTTGTAAATAATTAGGGAAAGTCTTCAACATGTATTAGAACATCTTCATTTCTGTTGTTTAGTGCCTTTGTACTAGAAAGCTGACATGGTGAGAAAATTTGGGATCTGCTGAATAGTTGGCCATGCATCTGTTTTTAAAAAAACTCATTTTGGGTTCATGAGCACTTTGTCTTTCCACCACCGTGGTTTGCATTTGGAGTTTTCTTTCTCTTATATTTACAAATGATAATGAAAGATTTTGTTATCTGTAAACAAAAACCCAATGTCTGAACTATTTCGATTGAAATCTGTTAGTTTTGTGTTACATCACAGCCATGCAGGTATACAGTAAATATGGTGTGGTTCCTATAAAAAATTAATTTTACAAAGAATAGGAATCATGATAATATTATTATGTGCAGATCAACACATGGAACAACAATCAAATGAATAAACTTTTATGCAAATCATCATGAATCAAAGATGAAAGAAAATAGAATGTTAAGATGAAGAATGACAGTGCACATTTTGATGTCTCATCTCCTCAAATGTTATCTCACCATGGACTCGCCAGGCTGGTTTCAGCTGTTGTCTCATGCATGAGACATTTTGATAACATAAAACAGCAGCGTCCAAGGCATTGATTCCATTCCAAGGATAACTGGCCGCATGGGATGCCTTACCCTGGTACTTGACTCTCACCCTGATTGGAAACATTCAAGTAAACAAATTGTCTTGACACTTAATTATTTACACTAAACTTCACTTCTTCAGCACTGTCAATGTCAATATTTAACTATTTTACTAATGTTTTAACTGTATTTTTTTTAAAGACTTAAGCATCTTTTAAGTATAGTATTATCTATTAATAATTTTATGAGGTCTGAACATTAAATAATAACCATCAGCAACATCTGCTCATGAAAATAACTTTGAAAAAAATATTTGTAATAACCTTAACCATGTATTGAAAATATTGAATTTTTTTCTCAAACATTAAAATATTTTAAATTATTTTTTACCATGTGTTGGAAATATATAACTTTTTCCTCTAAATCAAAAATATTTTTAGCTCTAAAAATGTTTCCTAAGCATTCTTATTCCCTTAACTTTTAAAAAATTTAAAAAAAAATGTAAATTCTTTTTTACTTATAAAAGAACAGACAATGCAGTTGGTGTGCCTTTCCGTACCACCAAAACCAATCATGGCACTTATGGACTCAATCATGGCACTTATGGATTCAATCATGGCACTTATGGACTCATTCATTGCACTTATGGATTCAATCATGGCACTTATGGACTCAATCATGGCACTTATGGAATCATGGCACTTGAAGACTCAATAATGGCACATACAAACTCAATCATACCACTTACGGACTCATGGCAACATAAACTGGTTTAGGGACACTGTACTGTGATGGGTGGGCCATCAATGCCACGTCCATGTCATTGTAAGCCCCAGCATTGATGAGGTCAATCTTACCTCCACCACCTTCCTCAGCTGGGCAGCCAAGAACAGTCACCTTTAGGAGTAGGGGAAATAATTTAGTTCAGATTTTCAACAAAAATATGATTCATTTGACCTTAACAAATGATTAAAAACGGAAATTAGTTTAAGAACTTGTAGATTCCTCTCTACTTTTTAAGGTATTTGTAAAGTAGTCCTGAGGTTTTCAACCATTTTATCTAAACTTTCCATGGTAAAGATATTTTTAAAAAAAGGAATCCACACACCTTTCCCTTGATATTTCCTTTATCCAAAGCTTCTTTTATTCCTAATGAGATGGCTATTCCCATTATAGCTATGAGATTGTGACCGCAGGCGTGTCCAATGCCAGGTAGGCCATCATACTCACACATCACACCTATGATAAAACAATACCAAAACTTATGCATGGGAAGTAACATAAGTCTAGATTTGGAAAAGAACAAATTGCAGAGCGAATTATTTAACTTTACCTTATGTAATTTAATAATAAACCAAATATTAAAGTAATTTAACTACGGAATTTTATCATTTGTACCCTGTAAATAATACTCTATCAAAGCAAATAAATTCTTTTGTAAGTAAGTCAAAGTGAATCTTTTAATCACCCAGCTATTAATACCTATATTCGGAGAGTCAGGATCAATCTCATGGCTTGTTGCTGTTGCTTTAAAAGCTGTTTCCAATTTGTAATTTTTCTCAACCTATTGAAAAATAAAAAAAAACAACATTAAATTATTCTTATGATATAATTTGAGGCAAAGGTCATTAAAAAAAAAATTATTATGGAAATTCTACCTTTTCATACCTGAAAGCCTTTTGACAGCAAAAGATCTGTGAGCACCTGGTGGGCATGATGCTCTTGGAAGCAAAGTTCTGGATGCTCCCATATATCTAAACTTATGTTTCGTAGGTATTTGCTTTCTCTGTCAATGGCTGCACATGCCAAATCTTTGTCTGATACCATACTCTTGTGCTGCAGGTGAAATTTCAAATTAGAGGTTTGGTATGATTTGGAAATATTGTGCTTCTGTTTGAAACTATGATCTCACATGCATAGGAATAGGATTAAACTTTATCTAACCTATCCTGTTATTGCAGCTTGTCCTGATTATAGCATAATATAGTGTGTATAATTATCACCTGCTACTTACATTTCCTGTATGCTTTACAGTGATATAAATCTACAATTAAAAAACATCATCAGTCCCTAAATTATTGAATTTCTTATATTTTCTATTTTAGAACAAAAAGGAAATATTAGAAAATCTAAATTAAAAAATTTGTTAAATTCTATCATATTTAATTAATTTTTTGGAAAAACTTATTTTAAACATAATACCTGCAAATGTATCCACTTGAAACTTGTCAAACACAGCAATTTACCTTTAAATACATTTAGCAGTGCTGGACTATGGCGAAACACCAATATTTTCAACATTTAAATTGTCACTGTCTAATACAATGAATACTGTTTTTCAAATTAAATTGTGTATAAATTTGAAATAAAACAGATATATGATATAGACCAATATATTTACATTTTTTTATTACGGTAAAGTGTCAATTTTTCAAACTTCCCTTTAATTTTTAAAACATTGTACACAATTTGCATGGCAAGGTGAATTAGCATAAAAATAAAGAAAAATAATTCAGATTCTGTAGCACAGCCCAGGTAAAATAAAGATACTTATTGCACATGAAGTGACCAGACAAAGATTGCAAAATGTGGTAATTAATAGGCAATATATTACTGAATACATGCCTGCAAAGAAAAATTGATCTCAGATTTTATTCTTTGTGACAGTTATCTATTTTAGTCAATATACAACCACATTTTGCTGAAAAGAATTCCAGTCCTAACCATATTTGTTTTATATCAATCAGCTGATCTCAGTACAGTTTGCTGCATGGTTACAATAAAGCCCCTTAACTATAAGGTAAAAATATATTTTATTCTATGCACAAACTTCGTTAACGAAACCTTTCCATGACCCTGTTCAGTTATCAGAAAAAATATGATAACCAAAGTACAAGCGGTCCCAAAAAGACACCTTAATGCAGGGGTCGGCAAACTTTTTATTAGCCTTTACTGCAAAATATATGAGTTTAAGCAGTAGTTACCCCCACAATTTGCGAAGAAGAAAATCATAGTCATAGACTATTGTAAGGTGATTCTTGGGAGCTACCCCTTTGACATTCCTGGTGTAGCAGGATAGTTTGCAGCTAGGGCGAAACTTTCCAGGGGGACTACCTCGTGGTACCCTTCCTCTGTTAAAGGACCGTCCGGGGACCTCGAAGAGCTTAGACTCAGAGGCGTCTACGACATTAAAAATATTATGTTTTCAAAATAGAGATAAGGCTAAGAAAAAAAAAGCCTACTGAAATTATAATATTTTATTGCCAATCGGTCCATGACCCATGTTTACAAAAACATATTCTTCAGTCTGTCATTTTATACATGACTCAAGTCAAAGTAAAGACTACACTAATGACTATAAATATAAATCATCAGGGATTTATGGCTTAAAATTAAAAAAGTAAATGCTTTTTTATACCCTGGGGATCAAGATGCCAGCAGGAAACAGCGGGAATAGGATCGTTAATCTTAACTAAGCCATCAAAACTTTATCATTCACATTCATTATCATTTTAATTGTTGTAAATTTTACATTTTAAAAAACGAAGTGGATGCGTACACCGTGGCGGTGTACCTAGCGAAACCATCTGCTTTGGCCTGCGTAAACCGCGGCAGTGTACTTAGCGAAATCGTGGGCTTTGGCCTGGGTACACTGCTGCAAAAATGTACCATTGACCATTGGCCTTGTTTTAAGATAATATGCATGTTAGGCAAGATCTTATGTGGTCAAGTGGTAGAGTGGATGCTGGTGATATATTTTGAGATCAATTCCCAGTTGGAGATCGGGGTTTTTTTTCTTCCCATTAATTAAAAATATTTTATATTTAAATTATCATGATCATTTGCAACAGTAGTTTCATGAGTAGTTTTTTAATATTTTGTAGCAATTTAAACATTTTAAATATATGTGATATTTTATTGTATTTCAACATTCTTCGTGTAGTTGAATATTTAAATTTTACTTTTACGAACACCCAAACACCAGTATATCAATAATATCATATGAATATTAATGTGCATGGTTGTATTTCAACCATCTTGCTTTCACTATGCATTGGCAAAATGTACACACGATATCAACGGTTCATTCACAACCCTCAGTCTCACAGCAAATCTTTTGAAAACATTACGATTTTAGAAACTTACGGCGCGGTAGCAAACTGTATAGCAAAGCCATAGGTCTGTGTTTACCCTGTTCATGACGGAATTCGTTTCCAGAATGGCATGGCATGTGCTATTCTCAGGGTAAAACACAACGTTTTCTCACAGAAACCATTGCACAATGCGTTAGGGACAGGATTTGCGCTATTTCAAAGTTTTTTTATATATTGTTTTTTGTTAAGAAATCGATCCATGCCAGGGGGTGGGTGTGAGTTATGGGTAGAGGCTTAACCAAAAAGGGGGCCTACACAAATCACGGCTCTGGATAGGGGTTGTCCACAAAGGATGTCCGTACAACTAACTTACCTTTTGCACCCCCCCCCCCACCCAACCTGGAGAGAGGGGGGTGCTGATGTCTGCCTGCATTTTTTTTTTTACTAATGTGTAATGCCAATGAAAAACGAATTCAATAATATTTAGTTATTATTAAAAACTTTTAAAAATCAGTGCAGTGTTTCGTACTGATCATCATAATGATCATACTGTTGTTTTGTGTTGAAAATCGCTTGATATCACAATGACAATGCCTCGGACAACTTTAACTTCACAACTTCATGATCAATGTATGTGATTCTCTTCCCGTAATGTCTTTGTGGCGTAATTATATCTTGGCCTTGGTGCTAACAAAATAGATACACTGGCTTCCCATTCATTTTTACACACAAGTACAGGTTAGCCCAAAAAGTTAAAGACTCACAAAGAACATGGTTTTGCTACTTTAAATCGCCGCGGTGTACGCAGGCCAAAGTCAATAGTTTCGCTAGGTACACCGCCTCGGTGTACGTAGTGCCGGCCTTTAGAAAAATAAATTAATAAAGACTCTAACTCTGGTCTTGTCACTGGACAGGTGACACTCACACTGAATTTGTCTTAGTCTTATAATTAGTAGTAGTATTAGTATTAGTTCTGGTCTACTCAACTCACGCAAACTCAAAGCACTTAGACTAAGACTTTTTAGACTTAAACTTGGACTGACTTAGACTTCATAATTAAAATTATTTTATTCTATTGAGTTGAGACGTTTAGAAAATACTTAAATTAAAATTAGGCAAATTGATTAATTTACGAACTATGGTAAAGTAAAAGAACGCAAAACAAAAAAAATGATTAGCCATGATCATTAATCAAGGATTTTTTGTCTAATTTACCACTGCTTAGGCCTATTTATAATTGACCACTGATTCTGATAGTAATATCATGTCATCACTTTGGGTTACTGTTTACTGTTTTGTTTTGTTTTATTTTAGAAATGATTACTTTTTATTTCACCTGCTTTACCTCCCTTAGTTTTAACAAAAGAAAATTTTTTTTTTTTTAAATTATAAATATGTACATACTACTTGTCGATACTTACATTTTTGCACATAGTGGGAAAAGGGAATTAAAAAAAAAAAATATTAAAAGAAAATTAAAATTAGAGCAATTCTGAAATATGAATTGTATTTCTTATTTTATTTCCTTTTAACAAATATTCTTGATAAATTAAAACTCTTATAAATTTGGGCCTGATAAAACATTCAATAAATAGTTAAACATGATATGCATTACCTGAAATTGAAAAAAAGGACATGCCAAATAAACGGACGTATCTGCCAGACGCCTTCTTCGGCAGACAATAGAATAATAAACACCAGATACATTTTAAATAAAGCTAATTTCCAATGTAATATGTAATTGTTTATTTTATACAAAAATTCTTGATAAAAGCTTTATAATCTTTTGAACAACGTAACAGTTTGTATGAAATCTACACCATTACACTACTTATGAAATTGCATGACATCAATAACTACAAACAGCTTTTCATCGAACTTCTTCAAGTAGTCTGATGTACCAACAAGAATTTTTTGTTGTTGCTTTTGTCCTTAAAAAGGCTTCAAATGATTCACTGAAATCGATTTATCTTGAAAATTTGCGTCACTAATTATGCGAACTTCCTTGTCAACGTTTTCCTGCTTGACTCTTTCAGACTTATGACCCTGAGTTAACTAAACAGTTTATAAAGTGGTAACGATATATTTTTCGCACCTACTATCAGTAGATACGTAGAAGTCAACCGATATGAGCTTAATAAATCACTTGGAATCACTGTTGCAACACCAAATCTAAAAAAAAAATTAACACGTGGTTGACGCTATGTGAGAAAGATATAACAAATATCTTTTACTGAACAAGACAACACAAGCTTTAGAGATGAGCAGCGTAAATGTGAAGCTCAATTTGTTTAATGTATACGAATGTAAGTTTTAGATAACATGAGTTGATATGTCCTTCTCAAAATACTGAAAAATGAAAATATGCACATATTTGATGTTTTTTTTTAAATTTCTTCTGTATATAGGCCTACTCCCACACACTAGGGTGACCAAACGTCCCGTAAAAAGGGGATTGTCCCATTTTTTCACGATCGTACCTGTTGTCCCGAAAAAGTCTCTCGGGACGCCTAAATGTCCCTTTTTTTTTTTTAAACCAACCCATTTTCAAATAACAAAAATCTCCTAATTTATAACATATCTTCAAGTAATATTTTGGCTAGCTGTATAACCAGTGCCAGTAGTGATGTGGGCCCGCGTGATGGCTGCACTGCTCCCCTACCACTAGTGTCTGATCTTATATGTAAATGTATAGCGAGAGACATGAGAATTGAAGCAGGTGGGGGGGGGGGGCGGAGGATGTAATTGCGCGCAGAAAACAATTTTGATTCCGCTACCGCTACGTATAATGTATTAGTCTCATAATGTGTGATCCCTGCCGTCCTGTTCGTGTCAGAGTAACAGGTGTTTGTTTTTGGTGTTGAACTTTATTCTTTAATTTTATATTCTCTTCTCATGTAGACAATAATTATGCCCAAGCGTCAATATAAGTTTATGGCGGAGTATTCCACAGAGTGGAACTATATTAAAAAGGGACGCTATAAAAGTGAAGCCGAGTGCACAGTTTGCAATAATGTTTTTTAGTATTGGTATCCCCCCCCCCCCCCCCCCCCNTCCATTATTTGGTCACCCTACCACACACTGACTGCTGCGGCCTAGGCCAGTGGTCGGCAAACTCATTAGTCACAAGGGCCAAAAATCAGCAGTAGGACGATTTAAAAAAAAATTGAGAGCCAAATCTCTTTTAAGAACCTGTCAAGCTCCTTTTTTTTTTTTTTTTGAGTCAAAACCGATTTGTGGCCGACTGGAGAGCCGCATGCGGCACGTGAGCCGCATGCGGCACGTGAGCCGCATGCGGCACGTGAGCCGCATTTTGTCGACCACTTTCCTAAGCCATTTGCCTTATGGCTTAAAATTTAAAACAGTAAATGCTTTGTTATTCCCCGGGGAACAAGATGCCAGCAGCAAACGGGATTACAGCGGGAATAGGATCTTTAACCTTAACTAAGCCGTCAAAACTTTATCATTCACATTCATTATCATTTTAATTTTAGTAAATTTAACATTTTAGAAAAATAAATAAAGACTCTAGTCTTGTCACTGGACAGGTGACACTCAAACTGAGTTTGTTTGTTTTTTTTAAATTAAAAAAAAATAAATGCTTTGTTATCCCCTTGGGAACAAGATGCCAGCAGGAAATGGGATTCCCGCGGGAATGGTATCGTTAATCCTAACTAAGCCTAAATGTCAACTGACTTTATAATTCATAATCAGTTATCATTTTAGTATTTTGACATTAAAAAAAAATAAATAAAGACTCTAGTCTTGTAACTCTTTTGGTTATCACGTAGGTTGGTTCTGTTAGTTGCTTCTGTTGGTTGGTTGGTTCTGTTGGTTGGTTGTTTCTGTTGGATGGTTGGTTCTGTTTGTTGGTTGGTTCTGTTGGTTGGCTCTGTTGGTTGGTTCTGTTGGTTGGTTCTGTTGGTTGGTTGGTTCTGTTAGTTGGTTGGTTCTGTTGGTTGGTTCTGTTGGTTAGTTGGTTCTGTTAGTTGGTTGGTTCTTTTGGTTGGTTGGTTCTGTTAGTTGGTTCCGTTGGTTGGTTCTGTTGGTTGGTTCTGTTGGTTGGTTGGTTCTGTTAGTTAGTTGGTTCTGTTTGTTGGTTCTTTTGGTTGGTCTTGTTGGTTTGTTGGTTCTGTTGGTCTGTTGGTTCCTTTCGTTTGGTTCTGTTAGTTGGTTCTGTTGGTTGGTTCTGTTTGTTGGTTGGTTCTGTTTGTTGGTTCTGTTGGTTGGTTCTGTTGGTTTGTTGGTTCTGTTAGTTGGTTGGTTCTTTTGGTTGGTTGGTTCTGTTGGTTGGTTCTGTTGGTTGGTTCTGTTGGTTGGTTCTGTTGGTTGGTTCTGTTGGTTGGCTCTGTTGGTTGGTTCTGTTGGTTGGTTTGTTCTGTTGGTTGGTTCTGTTGGTTGGTTGGTTCCTTTGCTTTGGTTCTGTTGGTTGGTTCTGTTGGTTGGTTCTGTTGGTTGGTTCTGTTGGTTGGTTCTGTTAGTTGGTTGGTTCCTTTGGTTTGGTTCTGTTAGTTGGATCTGTTGTTTGGTTCTGTTAGTTGGTTGGTTCTGTTGGTTGGTTCTGTTAGTTGGTTCTGTTGGTTGATTCTGTTGGTTGGTTCTGTTGGTTGGTTCTGTTGGTTGGTTATGTTGGTTGGTTCTGTGGGTTGGTTGGTTCTGTTAGTTGGTTCTGTTGGTTGGTTCTTTTGGTTGGTTCTGTTGGTTGGGTCTGTTGGTTGGTTGGTTCTGTTGGTTGGTTGGTTGGTTCTGTTATTTGGTTTGTTGGTTCTGCTGGTTGGTTCTGCTGGTTCGTTCTGTCGGTTTTTTTATTGTATTGGTTGGTTCTGTCGATTAGTTCTGTTGAGTAGTATTTAAAGGTATCATAGGTCCGTGTTTCGGGTGTCATAGGTAAGTGTCGTGTGTCGTCATGTAGTGTTGAATCGTCATGAGTGTTTGACTTGATATGTTGATTTATTGTTGACATAAAGAACTATTATCTTCATTTAGTACTTCATCTAGTTTTGTTACTTCTTGCCCTCGACAAGTGCTGTTACTGCTTGTTCTCACCGAGTGCGTTACTGCTTGTTCTCATCGAGTGCTTTTACTGCTTGCCCTCATCGAGTGCTGTTACTGCTTGCTCTCATCGAGTGCTGTTACTGTTTGTTCTCATCGAGTGCTGTTACTGCTTGCTCTCATCGAGTGCTGTTACTGTTTGTTCTCATCGAGTGCTGTTACTGCTTGCTCTCATCGAGTGCTGTTACTGCTTGCCCTCATCCAGTGCTGTTACTGCTTGCCCTCATCCAGTGTTACTGCTTGTTCTCATCGAGTGCTGTTACTGCTTGCTCTCATCGAGTGCTGTTACTGCTTGTTCTCATCGAGTGCTGTTACTGCTTGCTCTCATCGAGTGCTGTTACTGCTTGTTCTCATCGAGTGTTGTTACTGCTTGTCCTCATCCAGTGCGTTTACTGCTTGCGCTCATCGAGTGCTGTTACTGCTTG